TGGTGACAAAAATGGTAATGTATAAATTATGTGTATGGCAAGACTACAAGGTAAAAGATGAAGTGTGGTATTTGACGTGGTGACAGAAATTTCGATGCACAAAATTATTTTATTGGTTAAAAAAGTAAAAAATAGTTTCAAAGGAAGAGTTTGCAAATAATATATTTGTCGTATATATAGAAATAGTGTAGATAATTAAGTACCTAATGAGGAGTTGTCTAATGAGATGTTGCATATGTTTGGACAATCTTGTATTCTCATGGTTCCAGATAATTGAATAAATTCATAACCTGCATAAATCTCTTTCAACTTTGGCAACCCTTTGAGATCTAATTTATTTAGTTTAGGGAACAGCTTTTGATGATGATGACTGGCAACTTGTTCCCTTTGTAACCTTGAACAACCCCCTCAAGTTGAGATATATCTATTTCCTTCAATGAAGAACAATGAGATGCTAGAGAATAAGAGAACAACCTTTTCACTTTATGGCAACCGGCAATTTCAATTGTCTCAAGTGTGGGGAAGCAAACGGTGGAATTAGCATAAATGTTTTGAAGTAATTCTTCATAAAATATTCCCTCCCATTCCTTGCAATCTCTAACAATAAGTTCCCTCAACTTCGGAAAACTTGTAACTGTAGCAAGAGTGAAATTAATTCTTAATCTTGGACATTCATGCAATGCAACACATTCAAGCCTATGGAGGCTTATAATTTGTGTGGGCCCCTTCCAAATACATTCCCAATTCTGGTAGATTATTTATCAATACAGAACACAATTTTGAATTCACCACCCTTACTCTTTCATTCTCATTTTCCTATAAAGTATAGTATTCAATGATTACATGACAATCAAAATATGTGCTCAATATATGAATCACATCAAATTGAATGGTACTGTAACATTACAAACTAAGCCCCATTAATTTCACATGTTTTAAAATTGGAGCAACATAATCTCACCAAGATGGATACACATGCTATTTAGCTAGACCTTCGTATGTTATCAACTGCACAACATGAATATATATATATATATATAATTTATTGAAAGTTTTTTTAAGATGGTAGGATACATTAAGCTCGATCTGAATAAAATTGACCTACCTGAATTACCGGCTCTATATATAACTTTTACATTATTTTCAATCTTTAGTATCATAGTCTTGTACTTAGCAGTAGTGTCAATCAAAAATTCAGTTATTTCAATCTCTTTACATCTTTATATCCAAGTAAACTATGGTAAGGGAGCTCGGGAACCTATTGTTACCTTTTGAGATTTAGCATCTCTAGCACGCTAGGTACTTGTTGTTATTTTTATGAAGAACAGCATGTTATAATCTTGAAATTTTGGTTTCATTGTGCATAGATTGTTTTTCTTGGAGAAAATAATAAATCCAACAACTTTTAAATGTCCTATGAAATATTTTTGCCTCTTCATTAAGCATATATGGTTATTGCCTATTGATTTTTTAATCATGTTTGGTGGAATCACATGTTCTATGAAAAAGTAGTTCTAGTCTAGCAAACTAGTTTAGTGTTTTGTTGATTGTTAATTGGGAAAATACAATCATTGGTTCTTATAATTTCATCAGGTTTTGATTTTAGGCCCTGTAATTTTTTTCTAATTTTTTCAATTCTTATAGGAACTAAAAACACTAAGGTCTCATTTGCTTACTATAAAAGAATGGAATGGAATGGATTAAAAATATAAAAGTAAAAATAAGATAATAAAAGAGGATATGTGAGCACATTCATGAGGAAGAGGGGTAATTTAGTTCATGAGATAGAGAATCACTATAAAAAAATGGCTTTTGATGGTGACTTTTAGTGACGACAAAAAAAAGTCACCGCCAAATGTCTACTTTTAGCAGCAAAAATTAGAACTCACCGCTAAAAGTAGACCTTAAGGTTGCCACCAAAAGTCAATTTTTAGCGGCGACATTTAATTGTTGTTGAAAATGCTTTTTGTGGCGACAGAGTATTTTTATAAAAAATAATTAAAAAATTAAAAATAATTTTTGTAATTACTTTTAATGGCAACAAACCTTCACTGCCAAAAGTATTTTTAAAAAAATAATTAAAAAATTATAAATAATTTTTGTGATTACTTTTTAGTGGCGATAAATTGTCGCCGTCAAAAGTATTTTCATAAAAAAATTAAAAAATAATTTTTTCAATTACTTTTTTTATTTGTTTAATTATTTTATAATTCATAAAAAATAATTAAAAAACTTTTAGTGGCAAAATTTGTTGCCTCTAAACGTATTTATATATAAAATGAGAAATAAATAACATTAGAATGTTAAAGTTATATATAAACATTAGAATATTAAAGTTATATAGATGTTGTAAGATGCAAATGGTATTGCAGACTACTTAACACATTATGCACTTGATACTTGGCTTGGTATATAAATGGTGTCTACTTTATTTATTGAGCTTTACTTTTTATTGCCACATGATTATTTAAATAAGATGCTCCATATTTGATGGTTATTTAAAATAAGTAAAAAATAAAATAGGCTGAGAATACTTAACGGTTTTTTGAATTATGAATAAAATTATGTATAAATTTATTAAAATTTGTTTATTTTAAATTGTGAAGTTGTTGGAAAGTATTCCCTATTAGCTTTAGATTAATTCTGTTAAAGATACTTTAATGAAAGTCTAAATTAATTTAGATCAAGTCAAAACAAGATTCATTCTATTTTGATTATGAAATATCCACTTAGATTTTTAACTTGGAATTTTTTTTTGTGTTAGCATCTACTTTGAGTTTATTACATATTCACCCATTTCCTATCTCAAAGATAATAAAAATAATTGTCTAAAATGACTATCAACAAAATTTATATGATTAAAAAAATTTTTTATTAAAATATATTTTTAAGATAATTGAAAAATTGTAGATAAAATTTATTTTTAATAAAAGAAGGGGAAGCATTTAACTTGGGAGAAAATAAAAGTATAATAATTTATTTATTAATTTTTTGAGAAAACTACGAAAAAAAAGTAAAAGATATTTAACGTAAACTAATATAATACATATAGATAAATTATATACTTAATTATTTTTACTTAAAACATAAAAATAAAATTTAAAAATTGGTAAAAAAAATTTTATAAGAAAATTATTTAATATTTAAAAATACTTTCATTTTAAGTTCATTTTCTGAACAAAATAATATTTTATTAAAAAATAAAATATATGTATATACACTCATAGAAATTATTTTAATATATTAATAAATGAAAATAAAATAAAATATATATGTATATATTTAATAATATATTATTTGATGTATGTATATTTAATTAAATAATATATATTTAATTTCACATAAAATAATTGCAGGTGTATTTCAGCTCAACTGGCAACAAAAGAGGACTTAAGACTTGAGAGGTGGAGATCAAGGGCTCAAATCTTGACTTTGGGCATATTTCACAATTCACATTGAATATGTGACGTGGCATGTGATGGTGATGTGGCGCACACATGACAGGGTGACATGGCACGTATTGTGGCATGAGGAGATGCACACGTGGTAGGTGATATGGCACAAGGAGGCATTGATGTGACATAAATTGGCTTTTTTATTTTTTATTTTTTAAAAAGTTGACTTTTGATGGCAACAAAAAGTCATCGCTAAAGGTTTTTACCGGCAACCTTTTTCCGTTAAAAGGTCACCACCAAAAGTCTTGTCACTAATAGTTTTTGGTAGCAACAAACATGGTCACTGCCAAAAGTATACCTTTAGCGGTAACAAGGGTAAACTTTTAGTGGCAAAAAACTTTTGGCGGCAGCAATTGTCATCACTAAAGGTATACTTTTGGCGGCTACTATGTTTGTCACTGTTAAAAACTATTAGTGACAAGATTTTCGTAGTGACTCTTTAGTGGCAAAAAGTCGCTGCTAAAAACTAAAGTCGCCATCAAAAGTTATTTTTTTATAGTATATATTAATGAATTTTATCATACTTATGGTGATTTAATTCATTTTTGTCTTAGTTTTTTCAATCCATTTCATTCTATTCATCAAATAGGACCTAAAAAACTAAAATTATAGGAACCTAAAAAATAAATGTTACCCAATCTTTTTGAAACTATAGGGACTACAAATACTAAAAAAATTACAAAGACTAAAAACAAAATCTGATAAAATTATAGGAACTGATGATTTTTTTCTTGTTAATTTATTCTTTCAAATACTAACTTTATATTAATTGATAATAAATTGTGAATAATTGCCAGAAATAGAATGGCACGGAAGCTATTTTCTCTTTTTGCCCATGGTTTTTTTGATAAAAATGAATATGGGTGCTATTATATACTCCTTCCGTTCAAAAATGTAAAGTATTTTTTGAGGAGTTAGATGCTAAAAAAATATAAGGTATTTTTAATTTTTTGAGGTGTAATAATTGCTTTTTTTTAAAGTACCCCTATTGATAATAACTTTATATTTATTGTAGGGTATTTAATAGGGATAAATATAAAAGATAGAATTAGTTGAAAAGTATGTAACTACTTTATTAAAGGGTGAGATTCGAGTAAAAATATCTTATATTTTTTAACAAGGGAGTATATATATATTTTTTCTAGATAATCAAAAGCTATATTGCCACAATGAAATAAAGTGCAATATAAGAAGTCAAATCACTACAATGTCAGAAAAATTGAAATCCATTACAAGTGTTGCAAATAAAATGAGAATTCCATGCAAGCCACACCGCTCCAAAACGTATCAAGAAAAGGAGAACTTCAAAAAAAAAAGAGAAAATTACACCTAGGTCCCAAAATAAAAAAAATTATTATCAAGAAGTCACATAAAATGCACAAAATACTGTTAAGTTTTAAATACTTGATAAAGGACATTTACAATTGGACAATGGACATTTATAATTTGATGTTACAATTTATTATTTTGCTTTGCTAGTTGTAATTTTACATAAGACTTGCGTGTCTGTCATTAAAGCATTCTAGCTAGTACTCAAATTTCCTCCAAAAATGTGTCTCATTTTGGCAACTTTGCCAGAGTTAATTCCTTCAGTTTGAGAAGCAGTGGCCGATCCCCATGTTGGGCTTCTTCATCACCATCTCCATCAACTAGCCTATCAAGTTCAGCACAATACTTTATAGTTATTGTCTCCAATGAAGGACAATGAGAAGCTAGAAAATAAGAGAACAACCTTTTCATCTTGTTGCAATGCCATATCTGAATCTCCTTAAGTTTGGGGAAGCAGACATTAGAAGAAGAAGATGATGATGATGGTGAAAAGTTCTTAAGTGATTCTTCACAAAACATTCCCTCCCATTCCTCACATTTGCATACTTTGAGTTTCTTCAACTCTAGGAGGCTTGTAAGGATAGTAAGAGAGAAGATACTTTTTAATTAATGAATAATGAACAACTTTAGGTGGAGGCTAGTCAGATTAGAAAAGGATTAGTATTAATAACATTAGTAAATAGGAGAATGATAACTTGAAAGAAATATAGTGTTCAATGGTGTCATGACATAGGTATTTTAATTTTAAATTAAAATTGATGGTATATTTTTTATATATCTTGGAGTCGTTAACAAGAAGAATTTGTGGCTTAGTGGAAATGACTTTAGATGTTAATCTATAGGTCTTGAGTTTGAATCTCCCAAGATATAGGTCAAGTCCCAAAAATTAGACGTGACTAGCATGAGATATATGCACAAACATACATTTCTTAAGGCTTGATCAAGGAAACTTTAATGTAATACTTTAATTCATTTGAAATAGAATGGAAAGTCATTATAACATTTTTCATATAAATAAAAGATTCCTAAACTTTTTGGTAACAATTTTGTCAAATCATCCCCTATAAATAGGACCTCATAAAATCTTTACAACATCAAGCTCCTACACAACAGACAGACAAATTGATCACAAATCAGGATCCTATCTATAATTAACATGGAGCATCTAATCATAGTTTCAAAATTTGACATGTAATTAAACATTTACATCAAAAGGAAGCTAAGGTGTCTTCAAATGATCTTCTAAGCAATAGATCAATGAGCCCCTCAAAGGTCAACAGAAGGTACATTGTCAGCTATGTTATCTGAGACCAAAAATATTTTCAATGAATAACATCCCAATTTACACTTGTAAGAAATAATGGAAAGTAATATCAATGAGTCAATTATAAACTTATCAAAATAATCAATTTTAATAATATAGACATATACTCATAAGTATCAACACCAACAACTATGTAAATGTATAAAGTATGAATATATGAATTCAATAAAAAATTATTAGAAATTCAAGTTACACCTTTAAGTTTCTCATATGCTTGAACACTTTGGGATTTATGTTTCTCAATACAAAATCCATATACAGTAAAAATAACCATTTACTTTTCAAAATCAAACTTAAGGAAAATAAGCATCAAAACTCTTTCTTTAGCAAGATTTAATTATAATGATTAATAAGTATGGATACACAATCTATGAGGGTAAATAACCAACAAGCATAAACACACAATCCACGAGAATAAATAACTAACAAGTATGACTTGACGCTGTGAAAATAAGCATGAGCATAAAGCCCAAGAAATCAAGCATAGACACAAGGCTCACAAAAATAAGTGTAAGTACTATGCTCATGAATACCCATTCCTTCGTTTTATATACATTGGCCATCGTACGGGACTAGCACCTCCTAAGTACCCTACTAGCTAGGTGTATTATGGTATGCCAAAGGCTAATGAATTTGTCATTAGTAGCCAGTATTCTGATTCAATCCCACAATTTAAATAAAGCATGTATAAGTTTATAAAATCAACTTATTATCTCTTTTTAATATTATTTCTTATCAACATAAATAAATTTATCTATAAGTATCCCATGCATGAATTATGATAAAACAACATTATATTTTTCATATATTCATTTGAAGAATACATTAACTCTTTTCAATATAATCACTACAAAACATTATCTTCAATGCTCTCCCACACATGAACCATAATAAAATGTTTGTTTTTTTTGACCGTAAGATCAATCAATATTAACACCATGAATGTTTGTGAATATTCATTCAAAAATTAATTCTAATTCCTTTTGTGAATTTAATGTAATGCAAGAATTTCCAAAATATAGTAATTGACAGTGGAAATAAATCTTAATGTTAGTTAAGTATATTATATATGAATACGTTTAGTCAAAATTTCAATCAAAATAAATTTCCTAATAATTAAGTCATTGGGATGCTATTCACTTACTTGAGCTTAAGATAATAATTTGCTCCTTCTAAAGTACACTTCTCTTTATTTCCCCTTAGATACCTTATTACCAACTTCTACAATAATGACTCTTCTCCGTACATGTCCAATAGACATTAATTTCTTCCACAATTCTCTCTAGTACACAAAGTTATAATATTCTACCAACACATAGTTTAAATAAACAATACCTTTATTTACATATACACGCTCTTCCCAACATCTAACTGGAAGCCATAGCATTCATTTTAAATATTTAAAGGTTTAAATAAATACAATAAGCTACAAGTCAAAAATAAATAATTGAATAAACATTCTTTATAGGCCTTATCTCACCTTCCAACACTATATCCTAATTTGCAATGGAAAATTTGAATAATTTCCATTTTAAAATTTTTAATGATTCATTTCCCACACTTAGTTATTCATCTAGATCAAAACAATTTATCCTCCCTCAACTCATCTTACACTTTATGTGCATTCTAAAATCAAATCATACAATAGTACCAAAATCAATCATACAACTCTCAAGGTTCTTTATAAAATTTCCTAGATTCAATGTCATAACAATATTCAACGTTTGTTATGGAGAATAATTGTCTACCAAAACAATTTAATTATTAATAACACAATCATCACCTTAATTTCCCACCAATTACCAAAAGTTTCTTTTCAAGCATTTTATCGAGCTTCAAATATGCATCCAAGTTCAAACACTACCAAAACCCTTCCTTCTCAACTCCCTTTCCAAAATTTTTTTTTCCAATATCAACATTTAGACTAAGCAGACTTCTCAAATTCCACATTTTCAGCCAAAAAAAAAGCAATTTTAACCTCAAAGGAAAAACCCAAAATTCACATTTATCTCCATTAATCATAACCCAAAACAATCATACCAAATTATCTGATGAAAATGTTTAATTAAGATTTAAATTTTAGACTACTCAAATCCCCTCTCTACACAAACGAAAATGGCAGTCAAACAAAGAAATAATATTTACAACCGTAGCTACCCAAAACACGCACTCACAGAATCATCAAGAAGGAGAAAAATTCAAAGAATACCCAATTAGTCATGCTTGAATGAAATTTCAAAAATACCAATTCAAACACAACTCTTCTCTAATTTTGTAACTTAGATAAAACCTTAATTTCCCCCTTTTTCTAACAATCAACAATTTAAATGAGGAGAGAACAAGTTCCTCATACCGAAACAGTGATGAGAAAGCAAGGGGAAGAGCTAAATGTCAAACATGTAAGAGAAAGAGATGAGCTTTACCCATCCCACAATCAAAGACAGCAGAGAAGAGGAAAGAAGATGTTCGGCGCTGTTGCACTCGGAGGAGGAACGGCCAGAAACGTTCACGACTCTAACACGAAAGAGAAGCTCTGACGATGACACCCACAACAAAGGAACGAATAGAGAAGAAGGTGCGAAGGATAAAGGGAAGGCGATGATTTTTTATAACCTACATCACCATTGACGTCGAAGAATGGTGATCAGATAAGCTTTATCATGACTCGCAATGGTGAGCATTTGGCAACATGAATCAGGGAAGAGCAAAATGAATTTAAATGCTTCCATGCGACACCACAACGAAGGAAGAAGAAGACCTTTCATAGTCGCCGGCTCCACATGAAAAGAACGACAGAAGAAGACCAAGAACATGGGTGAGGATTCGTGCGTGCTCTCTCTTCCTTAATCTCTCTTGATCAACTGCTAACCCCAAATGGAGCGGAAACTTCTCGTTTCCTTTTATCTATGACTCTCTCTCTCTTTTTTAAACACCAAGGGCAATATGGTAATTTAACCAACTTGTTAGTGAAAATAAAAATTTTCTTCTCTTGCTCTGAGGGGGTTCAAACCTAGAACCTGGGTCATGGAAAACGGACTCAGTTATCACTATAATAGCTCACAGCCTTGGTAAATTTGTAATTAAATATCCATATATGTACAGATATAAATATCTTTAAAATGCCTTACCATCAATTTTAATGTCAATTAAATTCTGGGTCGTTACAATATAGTACATTCATGTTGGGTCTAGAGGGCTATGGATAAAGCTTGTAAACAATAGAGGTGATTATAAAAAACTTGGGTTCCTCTCTAAGACTTTTTTTCTTATGAAAAACATATTCAGATAATTAAACACAGATGTATATAAATGTACTAAGGTTTTGAAGCCCGGGGTGCTTTAAGAGGCGGCTTCTCACTTTCCTCACAGTAAGATTGTTGTCAAATTGCAAATCCTTTTTCATTCTCCCAATAAATGTCTCAAGGAGGTGGTCTCTCTAACCCTGGTTTTTGGGAAATGGTATAGCTAAAAATTCTTAACTTTTCATTATATATTGTTATATGATTGTATTATTTAACTCCAAAGTGATTAATCTTTTTCCTTTATAGAATATTGAGGAAGGGAAGAAATATAAAGTGGTTTTCTTTGTCCTTTCATCAAGGTCAATTGACCTAAAAGTTTCATTCACATGAGCAAGTGCTTAAGAATTAGCTTCATCACAAATCAAGTTAATATACATTTAATTAAATTTAAAAATTTACTTTTAACAATTTAAGGAGATGGTTCTCGTGAAATGTTTTATTATATCTATTTTTATCTTTTATACATTGATAATTAGGATGGGAGAAAAGAATCCTTGAAACTTAACAAAAGAATTAAAGAAATTGTAAAATGTAATATGCTTGACAAATCTAAACTAATCCTAATTCCAAATTTAGATATCCAAGCACCACGAATAAAAAATTTGCTTTTGCTTATTTGCTCCAGAGTTGTTAACAATTATACTAAAATTAGATCCATAGGGCTAATTGCCTAAAATACCAAAGCTAACATGATCGTTGGATAAATGTGTTGCTAATAGTTAGGGGACAAGTAAGATCATATCTCTTAGTCATACATACATGTAAAGGATATATCGGATAACCTGTCTCTCAATAATAATAAGTCTATACTTAGTTCCAGGCCAATATTATATAAACTTGTGAGCACGAGCTGAAAGAAATATAAACCTTGGTGTTGAATAATTCATAAAAAAGTCATCGTACAAAGCTTGTGCTCTTTTGCTCATGCTATTTGCTGTTCTTCTCAATGCAATGCCCTCAATGCAACGTTGCATATAGATGTTCGATCTGGAAGGCCTATTCCCGAACATTTTCTTGGTGCATTTTTTGAGATGAGTATGTAGTGCAATACTAGAGTTAGTACGTTTTCGTGTGTGTTTGTGTATCATGCCAATGGTTAACCACTTGTTTAATAGGAGATTAATCATGCTGGATCTGGAGGGCTATGGGTAGAACTTGTAAACAATAGAGGTGATTGTAAAACTTGGTTTCCTCTCTAAGACTATTTTTTTTAAAAAAAAAATCATATTCAGATAATTGAACATAAATGTATATTATTGTGTTAAGGTTTTGAAGCTGGAGGTGCAATGTTTCTTTCAAGTATTTCTCCATGGACAATTATTGGAGATGAATCAAATATATGCGTGACTACTAAACTCGCTTCTCTCTTTCCTTGCAATAAGGTTGCTGTAAAATTGCATGTCCTTTGTCATTCTCCCAATAAATGCCCTCAAGGAGTTGGTCTATTTAACCCTAGTTTTTGGGGCATGGTATGCTTATAAATTCTTGACTTTTAGTTAGGTATTGTCATATGATTGCAATATTTTAACTCGATCCAAATTGACTAATCTTTTTTCTTTAAAATAGAATGTTGAGAAAGGGAAGAAATACAAAGTGGTCTTCTTTGTCCGTTCATCAAGGTCAGTTGAGCTAAAAGTTTCGCTCACAGGAGCAAGTGGTCAAGAATTAACATCATCTAACATCAAGTTATTGATTAAAGATACTTTCCCCTTGATTAATTGCCATGTTCCATATTATATTTAAAATACATTAAGTAGCATACATATAGAGCATGATGGATTATATGTGTGTGTAGGGCTTTTGCAAAACATGTTGTGAAGTGGAGAAGAATTGAGACGGTTCTTGAAGGCACTAGTTCAGACTATAATTCAAGCCTCCAAATTACAACAACACATAAAGGAGAGATTTGGTTGGACCAAGTCTCAGCCATGCCCTTAGACACATACAATGTATGTAACATTTGAAATGATAAATTTGATCACATAAAAGGGTGACTTTACTCTAACAACGATCTCCTAGAGGTGAAGGCATGCCCCACCTCTATGGAACACATATCGATAGAAGTGGGGCTACCTTCTTTTCTCTTTCGTCTTCTTAACCTAAAGTGCACTTAAAGAGATTTTGTTTCTATTTGGTGTTTCTCTCACCTAGCATGACTAGGATTATTTTTTATATTTTCCATCAAGAACATGGATTTAGAAAGGACCTTTATCAAATGGTTATAGACTTAAAACCAAAATTTCTTCAATTTCTAAGTAGGCATATGTAGTAGGGTGTAAATTAAGAGGTATCTTTAAAATGACCATTCAATGTGACCTCCTTAAAAATTCATCGGTCCACCATTTGATTGTATCAGGTGGAACTTATGTTAACAGGGATCATTTGAGAAATGCATATAGATGGAAGGATACAATCGGACCATAGGAGAAGAGGCTAGGTCACTTTGGGGCGATTGGACTGATGACGGCTAATGCTTTTTGGAGTTTCTTCAAGTACATGCTTTTCAATTATTCTTCTCTTCATTGAGTTAAACTTATTCATATACGAACATATCAATCTATTGCTACAATTTTTTATGTTTCAGCAACTTGCAGAAGACCTTAGTGCCTTACTAGTATGGGTATTTAACGTTGGCATTAGCCGTCATGAAGAAATTAATACAACTGATATATGGCCTTTTGTACAAGTATAATTTATCCTTCACAATTTCATATGATGTTCTTAAATTAATCCTTATTCATTTTCTTGTTGGATTGATTTTGTTTTGCATTAATGTTTATAGGAAGCTCTAGATGGGATTGAGTTTACAAGAGGTCCTCTCACATCAAAGTGGGCAAGATATAATGACCCTAAATTTTAAATTGAAAAAGAAAATTCTCTTAATGGATATTTTATTTAAATAAATTTTATAGTAAGTAGAAATTGGTAGTTTAGAAGAACTCATGCTAAAAATTCTCCTGAGAATCCAAAGTTCAAAATTTTCTGAGTTAAAGTTTAGTTTTAAAATTTTAATAAAATCTTGTGTCCTTCCTTTTAATTCTCGTGCCTTTCATTGTAATTTTCTCGCGCTCTTTTTGTAATTTGCTCCAATGCTTCTTTTGGTTCTGATTCAGTTCTTTAGTGTGAAGAAAAACAGAGTATCACGATATTTTTTCTCACCGCCATCATATGGTTTTCTAAATGCTCATAGTTGGTCCATTTCTCTAGCCCTTGTCAACATCCTTAGCTCGCTGTCAATTGAGCTTTCTCATTGTTGCTGTTACTCTATCTATGGTCATCCTCGTCATCCTCATTTGCCAGCCACAAGGGGAGTTGAGTTACTGATTCTCTTCCCTATCATCATTGTTTTTGGTGTCATCATGAGGTGCGTAACACTCCACTTCTTTTCATGCCTTTGGTCTGTGTACTTGCTGCTGCCTTCTTCCTCTTCACCGTTTGATTTCGTCTGTCACGTTAGGAAGGAGCTAGGTTGCATAGATATGGGTACAAGTATACGATATGATATGGCATGATACGGGGATACAGGAAATTTTCAAAATTTTAGGATACAGGTACAGGGATATTTATAATATATATTTCAACATTTTATGATATAAGTATAGGTATTTTGATTTTTAGACAAGAATTTCTAAAGTGATATAAGGATATTTATAGTAATTAACTAAATATTAAGTGTTTTTTCAAGTTTTCAAGTGATATAGTAAAAATTATTGAAAAAAAAATCATATTACAAATGTTAGAATATGGGATACGTATGCAGAAGTATCCTACAAGTATCATATCGGATACATATTGGATACGGGTACGTTTACTTTTTTGAAGTATCCGTGCTATATAGGGAAGGAGGTTGAAGTTTTCTGTGGTTTTCTCTGTCTTGTGGCTGTCAGTGGTGAGTAGGCAACTAGACTTCATTTTCTTTATCCTCATCTGCTGAACGTCTTTGTGTAATGGAAGCTTAAGGTCTTCTTCTTCTTTTTCAGTCCATGGGTTCTGCTGCTTCTCCTCCTCTTTGGACAGCTGGGTGGCGACACTTGGACTATTGTTCATGTGGTTCTTGAGTCTATGCATGGCAGCTAATGTTGCACTTTGGTAGAGGTAAAAACACTAATCCTTCCTTCTATTCCTTCGAGTTCAATAGCAACGTGCATCAATCTCTTTCCTTTATTGGCCGAGGGTGGTTCTCTGCTTTTCAATATCCCTATCATGCGATTGGTAGTAAGGCTTAGTATTGTTTTGGTAAAGATTAGATGCTATTCTTCTTATTATGCCGAGCTAAAAAATACACAGAGAGAGAGAGAGAGAGAGAGAGAGAACTTGGTAAAGAAACTAGATATTGGAGATTATGGATTTTTCTTGGATGCTTGCCACATAATTTAGTTAATTGTAAATGTTCTTATAATGCTTGTAGTAATGATTGAAAGCAGAAATTGGTGGAAAAAATTGTTAATTTTATTGTAAAAC